CAAGAATAAGTTTATTAGCAAACTCAGTTAATACTTCTGATTTCAGGTTAGGAATTCTGGGAGGAGGCCTCTCATATATGCTCTCAAAGGGGGTTAGGCCCAAGGTGTAAGGTGTGTTCCTGACCCTAAAGAGGGTGAAAAGGAGAAGAGCCACCCAGTCACCATTAGTCTCCATGGTTGATTTGGTAAGGGTCTCTTTTAGAGTTCTATTCATCCTTTCTAGCTTTGGGGCCTATAAGTACAATGGAATTCCCAACCCACCCCTATGGCCTTGGCCATTCCCTGGGTTCCCTGAGCGGTGAAGGCTGGACCATTATCAGAGTTCAGCATGACAGGCATACCATACCTGGGAAGGATGTCTTCTAATATCTTCTTGGTCACTATCTGAGCAGTTTCATGTTTAATAGGGAAGGTCTCAGTCCATCCTGAAAAAATATCTACAAGCACTAATAAATATCTGTATCTCTATTTGCCTGGTTTTACCTTTATTGGGAAAGTCCATTTCCCAATAGGCATCCAGTTTGGCACCTCTTTTGGGAGCCTTTTTACATTGGTAAACTTGCAGTTCTACCAAAGGTCTTAGATGAATAATTTTTAAATTCGCATGTTGAATGAGATCTTCTGTTTTCCTTGTACCCAAGTGGGTCATCTGATGGATGTGCTGGAGCAGGTCCCGAGTGAGGGTGTCAGGCAGGATTAGCTTACAGACACCTGTCATGCCTCAGTCTCTGGGCTTGTGAGACATAGGTAATTTATTTATGATACAAGCAATACCCTCCTTAGAATATACATGTTTACCTTACAGAGTAGGTGGCCCAGGATCTACTGAAAGGTCAGAGTTGGCAAGGGATTAGGGGTGGCAGCCTTTGCTGCTGAATCTGCCCTCTGATTGCCTTTTGATGGCTGGGGCAATGTACAGTTGCCAACTTCTTGGGTAGCCAGAGGGCTTGTACTAAGTCTTTGTGAGAACTGAATGTTGGGTTCCTGTATTTACTAAGAATTTGATGTGTTTTCCCTCTACTTTAATGGTTACTGTAGGTTTGGGGAAAGGGACCAAACCCAACCTCCCCTAGTCACTTAGTTCCTCTATTTCCATCACTTTTGCTTGACCATCCTCTGTTTTTCAGGGAAGAGGTGTCTTGGTCCTTAGTCCAGTGTCCCATCTCTTTACAGTATGCACAATAATTCTTTTGGAGTCTGGGCTTGTCCCCAGTGTTAAGGGTAAACTTCTTTTATCTTGCCAGAAGTCATAATTGTTGCTGTTTCTCTGCTTTGGAGTTGGCTGTTGCTGAAAGTACAATTTTAGCCAAACCTCCAGTCTGCTGGGCCTTTGTAACTTACATTTTATGTCTGACACGGCTCGGTTGACAAAAGCCGTCATCATCGCAGCCAACCTATCCTCTGGTTCCAGGTTTAATGGTGTGTAGGTCTGGAATGTTGTCATGTTCTTTCTAGAAAGCCTGCAGGGGACTCCCCATCTTCCTAACATCTCTCATTTCAGTCAACATTGGTTGGGCTGCAGGAAGCTGCCAGGAAACCAGCAATTAGAGTGTAGCAGCAGACCCAGAGCCTCTCCTTTCCTTCTCACAGAGCCTTCCCTCTCTTCTGTGGTAAAAAGAACCTGCAGTAGTTGTTGGCAACCATCCCAAGTGTGTTGATGGATGAAAATCACTGAGTCTAAAAGGTTCATGAGAGCCTCTTGCCTTTCTGAAAAAGAGGGGTTTTGCATCTTCCAGTTGTGTGGGTCACTAGTGGAAAAAGGCCAGTATTGCATAGGTTGGTTCCCCTGCTCATCTGGAGGCCCTGAGATCATAAGGGAGAGGGACAAGTGGTATCTGGTGCCGCCTGTTTGTTCTGCTCCCTGGCTGCCCTTCCCCTAGTGTGTGGTGGACTAATTGAGGGTACCCCTCCTTAGGCCAATCTGTTTGGAAGGTTGGACACTATGACTTGCAGAAAGTTGTTAGTCTGTCCTTTCTAATTTCTGGCCCTAAATCTCTAGCCCTATTTTTAAAGTCTCTAAATTTGTCTAGGAAAACAGGAGGGTCATCTGAGTCTGTCCCCTTGCTTGAAATGTAAACACAAGAAGATGGTAAGCAAGACATGACACAAACAACGGCCAAAACTGTACAGTAATACTAACGCTGATGGTACCAAAAGTTGGGTGCAATGAGGCGGGTGTGACCCATGGTGTCTCTCCAGAGGAACTAGGGGAATCCAATCCCCTACTGATGGGTCAGGAAAGAAGACAAAAGGATGGCTGTGTTTTCTTTTAAAACTGAACCAGCAGAAGGAAACTTCAGAAAGTGAGTTTTTTATTCCACTGGTCTGACAGCAACTGGTGGACAGAAATGCAGGCCCCTCGTAGGTCTTTGTTGTTACAGGAGAGGGTCTCGGTCCCTTGTTAGTTCCTGTTCAGCAGAAAGTGGCTTTAGGGAGGAGGGCTTCCTTAGAACTTCAGGGAAATACCTAGACAGTTTGCAGTCATACATATCTGTAGGTCACTTAACCACCATGCTTTTATTTTTCCTCATTAAGTCAGACCTGTTCTATTTGTCTTCCCGAGTATAGCACAGCATACCCATAATCACAGTGTCCCAGGCTAGAAGTAGTTGATGTGCCAGACACTGGTGACTATGCCATATTCCCCTGGCTATTCCCAGAGAGGCAAGGTTACCTAAAGAAAAAATAGCTCAAAATATTTTTATAACATCTACAGAATTAAATAAAGTTCAAATTAGAGTCTAGGATTTTTTTTCTTACTCCAAAACTTTTTTATACTGTATTGCTATTATAAACTGAAGCCCTTCCCATAAGCAACTCACTCTTCCTGTCCATTCAGACTTCAAGTCCTATCAAATAATTCTCCATAACTGAGTCTTCACCCCAGAGCTGCCCCATCCTGTATCCTGGTTTGGTTCATGTAAGATAGAGGTGATAGTCCCTGCCCTAGATAATTCCCTGGATGTTCAGGGGTCCATGCACACCAACACTTCTATCCTTATTTGGAATATATATATATTGCGGTTTTCCTGAGTAGCCCTGCTGTTCTGGAACTTAGCTCTGTAGATGAAGCTGGCCTCCAGATCAGAGATCCAACTGCTTCTGCCTCCTTAAAGTTGTGCACCATTACACCCAACCTCCAGTTTTTGCGGACACCACACTCAACATACAATCTTGTTTTTAATGAGTGATTTGCCTCTGTGTGTGTATGTGTATACCACATGTGTGCCTGGTGCTCAGAAGGTCACTGGAAAATAGATAACTGTGAGCTGCCATGTGTGTGCTGGAAACCAAACCCAGGTCCTCAGCAAGAGCACCAAGTGCTCTTAACCAATGAGCCCACCCCCCCACCTTGAGACAGTCTTTGTTATCCAGGCTGTCCTAGAACTGTGAAAATTAAGCTGCTATCAAACTCACAGAAATTCTGGATGCTGGTGTTAAAGGAATGTACCACCACGAATGGCTATTTTTAAAAGCTATTTTGAGGAAATTTTAGAGTTGTCTGCACTTTTTAAATCTAGCTTTCTCTAGTATTACCCCAGCTGATCTGGTGCAGTTATTGAAACTAAAAAATCAGTATGATAGCACCTTAATTAGATTCCCTACTCAAAGTACACATTTCTCTACCATTATTCTAATTTGTGACAGTTTATTATCTTTCATGACCTCAATATTTTGTTTTCTTGGGGATTAGTTATGTTTTTGCTTTGGAGACATGCATCCATCTGTGGAGCCCAAACTAGCCTAGAACCTGCTCTCCTGCTTCAGCCGTTCAAGTGCTGAAATTACAGCTGTGTGCCCACCAGAGCTGATTGACTTTGGAGACAGTGCTGTTAAGTGCCATAGAACAGTGGCTCTCAACGTGTGGGTCGTGACCCCTTAGGGTAGCATGTCAGATATCCTGAATGTTAGATATTTACATTACAACTCATAACAGTAACAGAATTAGTTATGAAGTAGCTATGAAATAATTGTATGGTTGAGGGTCACCACAACCTGAGGAACTGAATTAAAAGGTCAGAGTATTAGGAAGGTTGAAGACCATTGCTTAGAGAATATCCCTTACATGGGTTTAATTTTCTTAAGATTGGAATTCTGTGGCAAATATCAGGGAGATCATGCTCACTTAGTCTACCATATTAGGTGCACAGGACATCAATACAGATACCGTTATCCTTGGTCTGATTGAGTGATGCCTGCTGCTTCGTTCTTGATGCAAACCCCATGCACTGAAAAACAGGTACTTGTCATGAAACTCAGGGGTTGATTAGGCATGGTTTCAGCAAGTCCCATTGCGAGGAAAAAACGTTCGTGAAGAAAATGAGGGTGCCAATCATATAGTGAGGCTATTGAGGTAAGGTGCGCGACTTTCCCCTGACAAAGGCTCGTTACATGCCAGTGTTTTAAGCTAGGTTTTCTGCTAGAAACCCGGATATTTTTCATAACCTGCAAGAGTACACAATGAGCAGAGGACACGACAGGACTCTGGGAAAATGGATCCTCTAAAGAGGTGAGAAAATGGCAGGGCAGAGAAGTAAAGAAGTTTCTCCCAAGAAACAGGCGTGCGGTGGCGTTCCGGACCCCAGACCGTACACGCACAGGGCAGCCTTGACTAATTCATCCCAGAGCTTGCTCCTGAGATGCCCAATCTCGGGGCTGCCTATGTCCTCAGGTCATTTAGGTCCCTTCTCTATGCCTCAATCTGGGCCAAAAAGAGTTCATCAACAGTTGGCTTCAGCCGAGGGGCCTCGATAGAATACCGAAAACAGACGTGAGACTTGACGACTGGTCCTCACAACGGGAGAGGAAACTCTCCACAGGAGCTTCCGTCTTTCCCAGTGGGAAGCGTCCTTGCGTCGCTGACTCACGTCAGCCCGCCCCATCAGTCTTGGCTCTGATAGGCTGCCCAATCTGTCCGTTTTCACGAAGGACTGTGCGCAGGCTCACAAGGGCGGGGAACGAGGCTGAGTGTTGGCGATTCGGAGCTGCTGGATCTGTGAGAGATGGTGAGTGTCCACCCAAGGCGGCGGTAGTGGGCTCCGGCCGCCCGGCGTGGCCGTCCCCGGGCAGGGGTTCTAGTCCTTGGGCGTCACCCCGCGGGACGGGGGATGCGGGCCTTTAGTCCCAGCCGAGGCGGAGCGACCGGAAGCTGGTGTGTGAGGGGCCCCCCCGGAGGTCCGCCCTCCGGCTCGATTATAGTTTAGCATTTTGGGCAGTGTTGGGCGACCAGCCAGGCTGCTGCGTTTCCTGAAGTCCGGCAGGCATATGGGAGGCACCGTAGGCGTAGACGCTTTACAAGTGCGTTGCCTTGCCTCCTCCGCTCTGTGTAGTAGGTACGAACATTAGCGCCATCTTCACACTTGGAATCCAAAGACAGCGGTCCCTGGGATTGGAACTCTGCAGGCTTGACTGCCGCCTGTGGACTAAGTTTGACATTGGGGTCAGGAACCCGAGGGCTCCACCCTGGGGATCCCAGAATCTCTGCCTACCTTAACAGGGTGGCGTTTTCAACCCTCACAAGTGTACAGAATTTAAAAGGCCTTTTCCATCGTTAAATCAAACCTCAGAATCTTATTTACAACGGTGCATGCTTGAAATCCCAGCACTGGGAAGGCTAGAGCAAAAGGACTTGCAGTTGGAGGGCAGCTTGGGATATAAAACGCCCAAGCTTTGTGTGTGTGTGTGCGTGTGTGTGTGTGTGTTTGGTTTTTTGTTTTGGTCAGTGTCGAAAAAGAAAAACTTAAGAGAAACTTTTTTTTTAGTTGTTAAATATTTTATGTATATAAGTAGTATTTTGCTTGTATGTATTTTAAGTGTTCCTGCAGCAATAGAAGGGTATCCTGGGCATTCCTCAGAAGCCCAGGAATCACACAGCTCTGAGGGGAGAAGGTATCCCAATGGAAGGGCATCCTGAGACACTGGGCCAGGAATTACACAGCTCTGAGAGGAAATCTCCTCAGCAGAGGTGGTGCAGATCTCGGGAGGGCATCCCCACCTGAGCTGAGGAGCTCAGGAGCCTCATTGCCTGGACAAATCCAGGGTGTGGAGGGATGAATCCTGGGGTGGCTGTCTCTGCTGTGGGGAGCGGGCAGCAGGAAACTGAACAAACAACAGGGCTTACATAGGATTTCTTAGGGGGCAGAGATTTCCAGAGTGAGTGTTAATTGGGATTTGGAGTCCTGAGCGTGGTGAGCTCTGGAATTGGTGGGGTTTTTCGACCCCCTTTTCCCTTCACGAGGACCATGAGCTAGGATGGGAAAGCCTTCCCAGCTGCAGGCAGCTTTGGCTGAGGTGCCATCACTGCTGAGAGGATATACCGACACTATGGACAACTCCTTCAGTGGTACCTCATGATGGCTGAACCGAGAAAGGAGTTGCCACCACTCAGGTCAGCTCCTGTGAGGGCTACAGGCTGAGGCAGGAAAGGAGGTGCAGCTGTTTTGACAGCTGCAGCATACTGCTCAGGGATTGCATGTATATGTATAACATGCCTGGTCAGGGATCAGATTGGAACTGGACTTATTGATGGCTGTGAGCCACCATGTAGGTGCTGGGAGTCAAACTCACTCCCATGGAAGACTATCCAGTGCTTTTAATTACTAAAGCATCTTTTCAGCCCCAGGAAGTTATAAATAGAAATGCACCTGAGAATGAAACAGAATGGCATCACCTAGACAGTGGTTATCAATCTGTGTGTCTCAACACACATATCACATATCAGATATTTAGTTATGAAGTACAGTTATGAGATTATTAAATAATTTTGTGTCTGAGAGTCACCACAACATGAGGGACTCTTATAGAATCGCAGCATTGGGAAGGTTGAGAACCACTGAGCTAGAGGCAACTATGTGGTACATTTGTTGTGGCCAGTATCGTCTGTTCAATTGGGGTTCTGTGTTTTTCACAATATAGAATAAAGAATGTCTTTACTTCATCAAAAACACTATTGCTTCAAATCTATGCAATGCTATTTTTCACACTTACCTATAAAAAAATTTTAATAGGAAACTGAAGAGATGGGCCCAGCCATTGGTATTTGTTGTTCTTACAGAAGACTCAGGCTCAATTCCCAACCCCCACATGTCTGCTTACAACTGTTTAAAACTCCATTTCTAGATCTGATGCCTCCTTCTGACTTATGCAAGCTCCTGCATGCACATATTGCATATATAAAGTAAATACATCAATATATTTTTAAAAATCTTAATAGCATATTGAGAGTTTTAAGAAATACAAAAGGATCTAAGTGGAAAATCTCTCTCACGTCCATCCCTAATCCGAGCTTCGGTCTCCTTAAGGAACAAACAGGGGTGTGTGTGTGTGTGTGTGTGTGTGTCTATCTGTCTGTCTGTGTGTCTATATTTCTGTCTGTGTGCATCTGTATATGTGAAACTCCCTCTGTAGACCAGTGTATATATATCTGAAAGTTCCTCTGTAGGCCAGGCTGGCCTAGAACTCACAAAGATCTACCTCTGCCTCCCAAGTGCTGGGATTAAAGGTGTGCTCCACCAGCACCCCCTGGAATAATTTACTAAGTGTGTATGTGCTCTGTTTTTTCATACATGGTAGATTTCTATAATCAGTACTATATTGTTTACATTCGTAAAATTGCTACATATTTAGATGAACATTCCAAATGAACGCATGCAGCACTGTTGTATATAATCTGTAGGAAGTGCATGTAGTCATTCCTTACCCCTCCCCACAAGCTAACTATGTTGTCAGACATACAGCTGGGTATGCTTCCTTTCTGATGTGTTTGGTACATGAGACTATTTTTTTCTTTGTGCCTTATAAAGCACACAACCTGCTATTTAACCAAGGAGGACCGTGAACTTCCAATCCTCCTGCTTCTACCTCCTAACTGCTGGGATTTTGGGTATGTACCACCATACTCAAAATTAGTATATTTTGATATTAGTGTAATTTTGGCCAGAAGGTTTACTTTATAATACAAAATACTAAAAGATGTTTATTCTGATCTAGAGCAAGGACTTAGTGATTAAGAGCAAATACCACTCTTCCAGAGGAACAGGGTTAAGTTCCCAATGCCCACATTAGACAGATCACAACCACCTGTAACTCCAGCTCCAGTGAACCAACACCCTCTTCTGGCCTCCTGGGTCACTACACTCATGTGCACAGATATCACAGATAATAACAGATAATGTGATTATAAAATAATTACATATACTACACACACACAATATGTATGTATATGTATGAATGTGTGTGTATGTATGAATATATATACACATGCATTCATTCATATATATATATGTGTGTGTGTGTGTGTGTGTGTGTGTGTGTGTAAAATTCACTCCTCCGTTCACTTAAAAAATACCTACTGTTGCCAGATGTGGTGACTCATAACTTGGGAAGCAGAGGCAGGCAGCTCTCTCTATAATCAGTGCCAACTTGGTCTACATAGTTTCAGGTTAGTCAGTGATGAGTAGTAAGACCCTGTCTTTTCACACACGCATACACTCCAAAAGAAAACCAAACTATCGTTTCAAGAGCCTGTGGATCTGAGCCCCCACTCATGAGGCTCAGATCATATGAGGACACCCTCATTCTCATTCCATACACACACACACACACACACACACACACACACACATACACCTACCTTTCCAAACCTACTTCATTCTAAGGCTGCACAGTAGTACCCTATGCTCATCCACTTAGTTAGTTTCCTCCACAGTGCTGGTAGTAACTACCCTTATCTTTGACACTCCTGTCCTATAGAACTATTCTATAGGGTAGTTCATGTTGGTGGAATTAGATCTATTAGATCTATTAAATAAAACCATCCACACCTTTTGTCCAGTTTTACTCTACCATATAGCTGGTTTCCTCTTTTCCTGTCTTAACATGTGTATCTTTAAGATGGCCATGTTTGGTATTTATTTACTGCCTAAAAGCATTTAACCAAACCATGCTATTACATCATTATATGTATTTTTTGTTTTTCAAGACAGGGTTTCCCTGTGTAGCTGTTCTGAAACTCACTCTGTAGTCCAGGCTGGCCTCAAACTCACAGAGATCCATCTGTCTCTGCTCCTAAGTGCTGGGACTAAACATGTGCATCATCACCCAGCTATGATGTTCGTTCTATTTACTATATAATAGTTGATAAAGTGGTGTGTGTGTGTGTGTGTGTGTGTGTGTGTGTGTGTGTGTCAGCTGTCCAGGAACTTGCTATAGAGGCCAGACCAGCCTTGAACTCAGAAATCTTCTGACTCTGCTTCCAGAGTGCTAGGATTACATTTGTGCACCACCACACTCAGCCATGAGTCCAACAGAATTTGGCAAACCATTGCCCTGGTATACAGTCTAAGTTGTTTCCAGTTCCTAACTCAGTCATAATGCTGTGGTCTATAATTTTTGGTTATTTCTTTTAAATGAAGTATTTATTTATGATGAGTCTCAAGCAAAGCATTTCTGAGGCAAAAGGAGTAGTACTTATGCTTCCTACACTGTGTTGTGTGGTTTTCCCAGGGGGTTATCAATCTTGAGAGTTTTGCCTTAATGACACCAGCATTAAAATGGTCCTGCATTGTTGAGTTTTCATCCCTTTACAAGGAATGAAAATCTTTTAGGTGTTCGTAATTTATCTTAGATGTGTTTTCTGTTTCTAAATCCAGTTGGACACATACTATTTTTCTTAATCATTTTGCTTGTTTTGTTTTGTTTTGTTTTGTTTTTGTTTTTGTTTTTTTTTGAGCCAGAGTTTCTCTGTGTAGTTCTGGCTATCCTGGAACTCAGAGTGTAGACCAGGCTGGTGTTGAACTCAGAGATCCACCTGCTTCTGCCTCTTAAACACTGAGATTAAAGCATGTGCCACCATGCCCAGCTTTTATGCAATGTCTTTAAAGTTTTTTTTTATGTTAAATTTTGCTATATTAGGGATGGAACTCAAGGCCTCATTTGCTTTTTTGTTTTGATTTTTAGTGTTTTTTAAGGTTTTTTTTTTTTTTTTTTTGAGACACATGTTCCCTATGTAGCTCAGGCTAGCCTGGAATCTTTCAAAATGCTGAGATACTGCGTGTGGTGGCACCAGACTCCACAATCCTGGAGCTTTACTGATGCAAACACATCTAACTAGAGAATGCAGGAACCCTGTCTCCTCTTCTCTATTGCCTGGAGTATTTTACTTTCACATGATTTAGCTTAATCGGGAGTGATAGTGATGGCTGAATTACTAAAAGTATTTGCTGCTCAATCATGGGGATTAATCTTTGGATACCAGCACCTATGTTGGGCAGTTCACAATTGTCTTTAACTCCATATAGCTCCAAGAGGCCTGATGCCATTTTTGGGCATCTGC